CACAGCGCACCACAGCGAGCGTACCTAATGGAACTCCACACTACGTCTTACGGTGCCGTGTACCGGAGGGGAGAGAGAGAGAGAGCAGCGAAGGGGGGGGGAGAGAGAAGTAATACGGTTTTCTGATAAAGCTGTGGAGAGTATGTGCTGCAGGGAGATGGATGCACAACGAAACAAGGAACGAACGCAAGCTCCGGTCCTTTTTACTGTGGACTCGATGTCCTGACAGGCTGGTATTTGTGCAACCTGCACAAACACAATACTGCACCATGATTACAAATGGTGAAATACAATGTAAAACTACAGAAAAATACCAGCTCACTAAAACACAACCGCTCAACTCAACGCAACTACTAACTATACCCGCGGTCAGAGAGCGGAGATGTTTCCCCTTTGTTATGTAATATGACGCGTTTGACGTATGACCTTAAAAAAAAAGCAGTTTTTAAGAGCAGAGCTCAAAATTGCTCCTTTCCCTCTGAATTCCTGCCCTTATGTCTCGTAAAACATATCAAATCCTACATTCACTTTTTAAATTGTAATTTTCAAGCAAGTTTAAGCATAAATGTAGAAAAAAAAAAAACCTGCAAGATGCTCTTTAATGTTTAAAAAGGTCTTATTTGTGTCATACTGACAAATTTTCACTTAGCCAACACATTTAATGTCTTGGAGCGTTAGCCAATAAAAGTGTGAGTGCTACATAGTGTTAAGTAAACAGGGGAGTCCATTAGGGGCGTTTCAGAAGGTTGGGGGGTGGGCTGGTGGGAGCTATGGGATTTTAGCCTTTTGCAGACCGCAAAAACCTATATAACACACTACAGGAAAGGGAAAACCAAAAAAGTATAACTGGGCCCCTTTAAGAAGACCAAAATAACCAATATATTGACCAATATAGCTGTAACTTAAAATACTTTTAAATTTATTTAATTTTGCAATAATCTTGTCAAATCTCAGTGGACTTCAGTTTGTACAGAATATCAGTATGACAATACGACACCCTCTGTCCTTAGACTCTCACATCGTACTAGGAAAAACTTCCGGAGAAAACCCACAGTTTAAAGGGAAAAAGGGAGAAACCTCAGGGAGAGCAACAGAGGAGGGATCCCTCTCCCAGGACGGACAGACGTGCAATAGATGCCGTGTGTACATTGAAAAGATAATACATTTGCAACATAGTGTTCAAGATGCAAGTCATGCCCTTTCTAGCAGGGTGGCTAAGACTCAGCTGACAAGTGGATTCTAAAATCTCATCTGAAACGTGTCTGGACCTAGTCTAATCATGCATTGGGCACTTGGCCTCGCCAGTTAAGAGTCTCAGTATTGGGCTGAATTCTCTTCTCAACCAGCATATGAATTCCCAATTGTGCTTCTGTAATGAATGGAATTGGTATTTTCTGTTTGAGAATTATAAGGAAAATGTATCCAAAACTTGCCCTGAATATCCATCAAACCCCTAGGGAGGCAGCATGGCGACAGAATCAGCCCAGCTGGAGCGGTGACATTTAGTCCTCATAGCAAGCTGCGCAAGCCAAACCAATATATATACCCCCTCCTCCCAACTGTAGCCAAGAGGCTGGCTGACCTTCTCCACACAGTTACAACAACAAAAACACTAAAGATTCAGAGCGGTGAGTATTTATGATTGTACACTTCATTGTTTGGTTTAAGTCAGAAACCTAAAGAGTCACAACTTTGCAGTGGCTCTCCATGTTTTATATTTTACTTTGCATATAAGCAGTAACTTTCAAAATAGGTTGAAGTATTTAGTCAGACAACTTACATTTAGAATCCTAATTAGATTCAGGTTTATTGCCATTGTGTGTATAGGTGCATACATAACCAAATTAATTTAAAAATAGTAATATATTTGTTTCTTTTTTTCAAAGGCTATTTAAAAAAAGTAGCAATAGCAAAATAGCAATTGAACAGAATTGTGCAAAAAATATATAGAGGATTGTCCATATACAGTTCGGAATCTAAAACATTTTGTGAGAATGAAGGATTTGGCCAGACAATTATTACTATCCCCTGGGGCAACCTCGAGACTATGGACTGATGCTTTTGAGAGCGTTTGATATACTGTATGTCGCAGTGACTCGCAGTACACAGACATTTCCTGCTTGAAACTGCTCTCAAGCTTCAATCTGTTTATTTCCTAAAATGACCAGTCTCTTGGTTCTATTATTGGTCCCTATGAGAAGCCATTTAAAGATTTTTGGGTCGTACCACCTGTTAAAAAGCCAGTCATGAGTCAGCGCTGCCATATGTCCTGCCTTATGCTGAAATATGATTTGCGCTGCTGCCAACAACTGCTATTAACAGTCTCAATGCAGCATAAATCTTGCGCTTGTGTTAAAGGCTACTACTGTATATACACCCTCCCCTACTTTAGGGGATCTTCCAACCTACCATTATTATAATTAACACCCCACAACCTCTCTAACAGCACCATACATAGCCTCTTGTCCAATTCATCAATTCACATATCTAAATCGTCAAATTCCCTGCAGCAGTAGTAAGATTCTTTGAGCCATAAATCATAATTGCATGTGCAAACTGACTGACCTTTTCTGCGGAAACTGGCTGTCAAGTGTCATTAAGTAAAGAGGCAGTTCCATAGGGTAGACAGGCTTCATCCACATGAAACTGCTTTACACCCAATCTTACTGAGAATGGTTAAATTAAATGGGAGCATAGTGACACAAAATAAGACATTAAAGGAATTGAATGGATACAATTAGTAAACCTGCTGCTGGCATGCAGGGAAAGTTGTAGCTGAAGAAATAGGCAAGATACTGAATGACTCCCACTGTACTGGTTGTTTACTGTATGGCTTCCATTGGTAGGAAAAGACTGTGGTTACACATTTTAGCACTCAGAGGCCAACAGAAAAAACCCTTTGGTTGTATGTGTTGGCTCCCAGTGGTTAACCATTGAACATATAGACTTTATAGGAAACTAAAAATATACTGGGCATCTCTCAGTGGCCAACAATGGAATCCTGTTGGTTCCTGGAAAGCTCCAAGATGGGAATTTAGTGAAACTTCCTGAATGTGATGCATAGTGTTTTAAAGGAGCACTTACTATTTGTCAGCTATTTTTTCTTGGACCTGTAAAGAATGCCATTTATCCAATAAGCTTGTGGGTTCTAGAATTAAACTCAATGTCAAGGAAAATCAGATGTTCTACCTTCCACAAAACTCTGCTGTCATGCCCTTCTAGTTTGAGTTCTGTGACCTTCGCTGAGGGGTGAAGCTAATTGGGAAGTCAACAAGTGTGGGAAGGCTTGTGTTGCGGTGCGTGGAAAAGGTAGGACAGAAATGCGGTATTAACAAAGAGCGAGCTTTATTTTACAAAAAAAGCCGATGACAAAAGAAAACAAGAACATTTAACATTACCAAAACAGGGGAGCACGAGTAAAGAATTCAGGATCAAAAACTTCAAGGACAAACATGGAGCGTGACGTGAAGGGAAGACAAACAATGAACCGACAGGGGAACACAGTGAAAGACAAGACTAAACACAGAGAGGGGTAATCACGGGACAAGAAACAGCTGGGTAAAGGAGGGAGAAACACAAGGGCAACAGGTGAACACAATGAGACAATCAGACACACCAGGGAAACTAACGACAGGAAGGCAAACACAGGAAGTAGGACCAGACAAGGCACAAGGAGGAAAACATGCGACAGGGAACACAGAACAGCAAAAATAAAACCAAAACTTAACACACAAAACTCAAATCCTGACATAACCCCACCCTCAAGGGACGGATTCAAGACGTCCCTACAAAGTCCAACATTTCCAAAAGGGTGGGTGGAGGGGGTCCGGAGGACGGGTCTGGGTCGACAGCCCAGGGGCAAGATTCGGGAGGGGGTGGAGGGCGGATGGACCGGGGGGCAAGTGCAGAGTTCATGGTGGGGGTCTCGGGCGCACAGCCCGGGGCAAGGCAGAGTTCATGGTGGGGGTCTCGGGCGGACGGCCCGGGGGTAAGGCAGAGTCCAAAAAGGGGCGAAGGCCACAGCGGGCGAACTTCAGGGGGCCGCATAGGAGCGGTTGAACAGGGATATTCTCCGGAGACGAACGACGACCGCAATGGAACCCCTCTAGTGTCAGCTTGATGCCGGCCGCCCTGCGGGATCGAGAAGCAGGAGCAGGGTGGACCCCGCCTGGCGGACAGACGGAGACTGGACTCTGGACGGAACCATGGGCAGGTGTCGGACAGCGACCCTCGGCGTAGCACGTGTCGGCGGACCACAGGAACCGAACGTAACGACCCGCAATGAGAAACGCCTCTAGTGCAGCTTGATTGCCCGGGCACTGGGATCGAGAGCAGGAGCATGGTGGCTACCCTCTGGCGGGACAGGCAGTAGACTGGACTCTGGACGGAACATGGGTAGGTGTCAGCAGGACCCTCGGCGTAGCACGTGTCGGCGGGAACCCAACAGGAACAGGATCTGGTGTTGGCAGAAAATCCGGCGGAAAGGTTCCGCGGACCAACAGGACACGGATCAGGTGTTGGAAGAGACAGCACATAGAGTAAGACTTGAGTTAGCGAACTTGAGAGGGAACACGAGAGGAGACTGAGAGGAGGCATCGAGAGGGAACCGAGAGATTGACTTGAATGCTGAGGAGGGGACTTGAGAGGGACTCGAGAAGGAATCGAAGGGGACTGAAGTGGCTTTGAGAGGGGGACGTGAGAGAGCGAGAGACTCGAATGGCTCGAGAAGAGACTTGAGAGAACTTGAGAAGGGACTTGAAGGGACTTGAGAGGGACTCAGAAGGAAATTGAAGAGAGGACTTGAGAGGGGACTTTGAGACGGTCCGGATATGCCGATAGGACAACAGGGAGTTGCCTCGGACGCGGAGAGCCAACCGAGACGGGGAGCTGGAATCGGCGGAACCGACAGGACACGGGAGTTGGCGTCGGCCCGTACGCCCGACAGGAGACGAGTGCTGGAGTCGGCCGGTACGCCGACAGGACACGGGAGAGAACTGGCGTCAGGCCGGAGAGCTTACTGGAGCGCTAGGGGAGTCGGAGAGCATGCTTCCTGGGGCGAACAGGCACCTGAGAGCCGGAACCATGACTGCTGGGAGCCGGTACTGAGCCGGAACCATGGCGCTGGGACACCGGGAGCCGGGACCATGGCTTGTGCCGGGCAACTGGAGTCCGGAAACATGGCTGCCTGGGACGGAATGAAGCCGCGTCCATCGACAGAATGGCGATCGGAACCAGAAATGGCTGTGTAACCGGTACTGGGGGGGGACACGGACTATTGACTGACGGTACTGAAAACGATCCATAGGCGTGGAGTTGGACAGGTACTGGGACACGAGACCAATGGTGCTAGAGACCAGGAACTGGACTGGACATACTGCTGGACCAGGGGACTGGAGCGGGACATGGACTGGGGCCAGAACTGAAGCCGCGACATGGCTATTGAGAGTAACAAAACGGGAACATTGGCTGGAACCACAGGGATCCATGGCTGTGTGGGCGGTACTGGAGTACTAGCTGGGCTTTCCTGACCTTGCGTTTAGAGGTCTTTGGAGCCCCTCGACCTCCAAACGCAACGGCATCCAAAAGGTCATAAAATGGGACTGGAGCACACATGCTACACAGACCATTCGAAACCGCTCCTCAAAAGGGGCAGTTGCCACTTACACTTGTGCTTTTTGAAGTATAGCCTCTTTGTCCCTACTAGACTAACAACCAGATAAACCCAGACAAACCAGATAAAAAGGTTCGCACTCCATTCGGCCAATGATAACATTGAGGGCCACAATCCAGTATGGAACAGATCCAACTCAAAATCAATCAAAATCCGCTGGGGTCCTAATTGGTCGATTCATTCTGTAGGGTGCGTGGAAAAGGTAGGACCCAAAATGCTGGCATTAAACAAAAAGCGAGCTTTATTTTACAAAAAAACGATGACAAAAGAAAACAAGAAAAAACTTAACATGACCAAACAAGGGAGCGCGCGAGTACAGAATCCAGGATGCCAAAACGTCAAGACAAACAATGGAGCCGTGAGCGTGAAAACTATGAACCCGACAGGGGAACAGAGGGAAGAGACAAGACTAAATACCGAAAGGGTAATCAGGACAAGAAACAGCTGGATAAACAGGTGAACACAAGAGACAATCAGACACACCAGGGAAACTAACGACAGGAGGGCAAACACAGGAAGAAGAATCAAACAAGACACAAGGAAGGAAAACATGAGACTGGGAACACAGAACATGCAAAATAACAACCAAACTTAACGACACAAAAACTCAAATCCTGACAATTCCTGCGTCCATTTGCGATGTTCGCTGTATCGCAGACCCCACGAAGCAACCAGGAAAGACCGGAGCTCCGACACTTCCGCTCCTGCGCAGCAGGATCCGCGCAACAATCACGCCGCCAACACGGCACCCAGCCCACGCAGCTTGTATATCTGTTTGTCATTACTGGAATCGATCCTGGTTGCTAACAAACGCCGATTGTAACACATAATCCACTGATGTTTCCGCTGGTAACGGTGGGAGGACTGCATCAGACATAGGTGGGCAAGCTGACACAATCAGAGCCACATGGGCTCACAGGGAGGGGGGGCAGGAAATCCAACGAAGGCTTTAGAGACAGAGTGAATACACATACTATGACAGAGTGCTGTATGAAAACCATGTGAGTTTGGAAAATTGCACAATTGTAAATCTATTCTAGTATACCTCAACAATGATTATGATCAATAGAAATTGGCCATGATGACCAAATGACCTTTACATTGTAATGCCTCCCAATAAAAAAATTAAGCATTTGAGATGCTGAGGGCTATGTAACAAAGAAACTTGAAAACAAATGCATTAGCAATATTTGCCTAACATACAGTTGCAAGACAAAGATGTGAACCCTTTGTAACTACCTGGATTTCTGCAATAGAAATTCATAAAATGTGTTTCTGATCATCATCTAAGTCACAAACACAATAGACAAACAACAGTCGCTTAAGCTAAACGCATACAAACAATTATAGTGTTTTTATGTTTTATTGAACACAACCATGTAAAACATTCAGTGCAGGGTGAGTCAGGACTCTGACTGGGCCACTCCCAGAGGCAATATTTTCCTTCGTGAAGCCATCCTCTGTTGTTGATTTAACTTCTGTGCTATTGGGTCGTTGTCCTGTTGCATCACCCATCTTTCTGTTGAGCTTCAATTGGGGACAGATGGCCTTAAGTTCCCCAGCAAATGTATGATAAAACTTGAAATTCATTTTCCGTCGATGAGGCAATCGTCCAGGCCCTGAGGCACCCCAAACCATGATGCTCCCTCCACCATAACTTCACATAGGCATGAGGTTTATTGATGTTTGTGTGCTGTGTCGTTTTGTTCTCACCCATAGCCTTGTGTGTTTCCTTACGCAACAACATCAACTTTAGTTATATTTCACACAGGCCTCCGCCTCTCTGGACTCTATGGGTATCTCACTCTATCATGGCTGTGCGTGCCTTCCACTACTGAGTTTACGTAAACGTAGCCGGCCAATCGGGGCGAGCCTAACCGAAGGCGCGGCAGCCCACAGTAGTATAAGGCGGCACACCTGCCGCCCACATCCTTTTCTCTCAGACGAGCTTGACAACCAAAGAGTTAAACGAACGAAGATATGAAGAAACGAAAATTGACTCACCATTACTCGGAAGCTAATGGCCATTGCCCCACCTGCCCTGGGTNTCATATCAATAATAATAAATCATATGTGTCCAAAAGGTAGTAGGAGGAAGCAAATGCTTATTAATTCCCACCCCTTACTTGATCAATGATTGTCCTTTAAATCATTATGCAAGTTATTCCTACATAGATTTACATTTATACATACATATACAATCATTTCTCATCTTCAATCACCTTTCTTCATTCTCATATTTTTCCAAAAAAGCGTTTCTGTACATCCTTTTAAACTCAATTATGCTTGTGCTTTGTTTTAACTCCTGCTCCTGCTTATCTGTACTTCAAGCAAATATGACAGTAAGACTGAATAGATATAGATAGATAATACATAGATCAGGTATGATTGACACATATAGTACGTTTCTTAGTCATTAGTCATAGGCATTTATAAAGAGGAATTCTAAAACATGCCCAAAATATTTCAAATATAGATGCTGTTTTAAGTCTTTTATCTACAACAGAATATGCCAGCATTGAAATGAGATGTGCTTTTCTTATGGTTACCTTTTAAAATGGTTCAACTTAGAGTGTACATATTTCAGTATAAGATATGTTGTTGTCATTGGGCACCTTGCTCTCATCTTTCCCTTCTCTGCTCCCCTTCTCTTCCATTTCCCATGACACACTGAATAGGGCTCATCTTAACCCCTCTTTGTGTACATGTACTCCTCTTTCTATCATCCATTCCACTCTTTTTTAAATCTTTTTTAAAACACCACTGCCACACTCCCTGCGCCTTTCTCTCTATTTCAGATGCAGTATAATTATCCGGTCATCATTATCAGAATCATTGTGTTTCCTCATTATAAACCCATCTGCTCTGCAAACCAACCAACATGACATAGACACAGCCATAAGGATACTGAAGCACACACACACACACACACACACACACACACACACACACACACACACACACACACACACACACACACACACACACACACACACACACACACACACACTCATCTCCATCGGAGGACATCAGTGAAGGTCCCCACACACACACACACACACACACACACACACACACACACACACACACACACACACACACACACACACACACACACACACACACTCATCTCCCTTTCTATCTATCCATGTCCCTTACTGTCTCATCACAGGAGCCACTTTAGAAACTGAACACATCGGTGTAACTGGTGTTAGGTAAGTATGTTGAGAGTGAGGTGAAGATGTTCAACTCATCTACTGAGATACATCAAGTAAAATGACTCCTAAACACTTAAAATGATATCTTGAATCGATTTACTTCTAAAGTTTTCATCCATTGGCCTTCAGTTTTAACCATCTAATTTAAACACCTGAGAAATGAAGGGGGTCACCCATGTTGTTCATTTCAATGTTGGGACACCAGACGACTCAACATTAGTAGACTCTGACAACCACAATCAAACCCAACCAATACTCTATAACCCATTACTTTCAGATTTGCTGTCAAGACAGTGTAATATATGAAATATGTAATATTATAGGAAAACATCTATACAAAATAATGTGTTAGTGTGAGTGCATATAAGCTGAATGTCCTTGTGTAACAACAAATATCATAATCAGAAATCCTGTATTTGTCCCGCAACGGTGTAATTTACATAATTAAAATTAGCAGATAGTGCACTGCAGATTAAGTGAAAAAAAATGGCTAAGTATGCACTCGTTATTAATAACACATAAGTAAACAACTGAAAAGCAGATATGTACATCATGGTAATAAACGTGAAATTGCAGAAGGTTATGTTGCACTTGCATGTATATTGCACAAATGATGCCTTCCTACCCTACTTGTCTGGCTTAGCACGGGTCATGTGAGTGTTGAAGGCAGTTCTTATAGACGATAAAGGTCCAATAATGAGAGAGGATTGACTTGAGACTTGTACCTAAAGGACAAATGCAGAATACGACGCACAAAGAGGAAATGTTACCATGGCTACCACCAGTTTGCTAATCATAGAGTCCATTTAATCAACAAATCAAAGATGCTTTTCTCTCGAGAAATGAATGTCAACATTCAAAATGACCTCATTACACCTGCCGTAGAGTTTTTCAAGACTAAATTGGATTAGAAATGTTAATCTCCTTGATAAGATCATTTATGTTTTAATAGGATACACAGGTCTATTAGTTTTCTTTTTTTCATTTTAATAAAGCAAAAGTTAAGAAGGCAGGTTGAGCAAGGAACATGTTGGATATAAGTAAGCAACATATGACTTTAAATACAAGCAGTAGCATATAATTATAGAAGCACAATGCAATATATAGTAAAGGATGGCAGTCTGAAAGCAGCAGTAATAGTGCATGAATATCAAAGAAATATTTGAGTGTATTACATTTGTCAAACACATAGAGTGCCAAATGCAACACATATTAATGAATCTAATAAACTGGAAATGACTAGGTATGGTAGATTAGTGAGGCGAAGACATGTCTATCAGAAGGCATTGTGGATGGTTAAATGCTGATGCCATGACCTCTGAAAGCTCTCAGCTGCCAGCCAAGCCTTTTAGCACTACACGCACAACTTCACAGTGGCAGAGTGAAAAATCACACAGTATGTCCGGGAAGCATGTGTGTGTGTGAGTGTATACACCAAGGGCACGCAGTGATCTGGTCACAGTGCTACATGTGATATCCAGCTCTGATGTTGTGTGATCGTCCATGCCCACACATATGTGCCCAGTGCAC